GGCTTTCCCTGTGGCTCTCCTGCCTGCAGAGGATTCTGAGCTCCTGGAGAGGCCACAGGCTACTGGCCTAGCACACTGGCCTGGCCTTACCATGGCTCTTCTGTTAGGCCCAGATACAAGTATGCACCTCGGTTCCCCTATCCAGGGCCAAGAGGGTCTCTGTTCTGTGACTGTCCTGCTGCTGACCATGGCATGCTGACTAGGATCCAAGGCCGTGAATATGAGCTGCTTTCTCTGGGATGGCCCAGGCACAGCAGGAACTTATGGCATGCCTACTGGGGCCTCTCTCGGTACTCTGTCTGATGAAGTCATATGATGCCTTGTCCAACTCTGTCTTACCTAGCCTCAGCCCAGCCAACCTGTGTCCATGCACAACCTGGGACTAAGAGGCAGGCATGACGGCAGGGGTGGCATCTCCCTGGCCCTGTAAAAGAGCAGTGGTGGTAACATCTGTGATCAGTGGTCATCAGGAAGATCGTTCTTTAGGGACACAGCTGAGGAGGTGAAAGGACACGGAAGGCCTGTGTTTGGGGAGTGAAGGAAAGGGTAGTGAAGAGGAAGCCTCATTTCTTCCCACCCCCTGTAGAAGACCACCCCTGTGGTGTGTCCATGGTGCAACCTGTGTGTGTCCATGGTGGGGGTTCAGTGTGTCTGTGTCACATCTGTGGTCCAGGCTTGGCAGGTCTCTAGTTTGGTCTGCATTCATGGTATGGGCTGTATGTGTCAGTAGTCCAAGCTTGGTGTGTCCGTGGTGTGGGCTCTACATGTTCATTGTGTGTGAGGTATGGGCCATGCATGTCTATGGCATGGGCTGTGGTGTGGCACCGGCTGTGTGTGTGTGTGTGTGGTATGGCCCTTGTGTGTCCGTGGCACAGGCCTGGTGCATCTGGTGCTCATGGCAGCCTGTCCCAGGAGTGAAGAATGGAGGTGTGTGATGGGCAGTCCTGCTCAAAAATGCCTTTGGATGTGGCTGTCAGTCATGATACTTAGTTTATTTTGGAATTTGAATGCAAGAAGTTCAGAGATACTTCTGCTCATCTGATGGCAATGTGACAACTCTATGCCAATATTGGACATGCTCTTTGCTAGACAGAGATTATCAAGACTAACCCAAAAGGAGACAGCTTGATCAGTCCTGTAACAGTGAAATTAAATTCATCATTAAAACCTCTATAAGGAATGAGCAGGCCTGCTGGCCTCACTAGCACGGTGAGACCAGCGACTCAGACACAGCAAGGGGGTCCTTCACAAACTGCAGAGCCGCCCTGTTGCAGACAGGTGGGTTTTTTCATAATCATGCTCAATTCACAGACTCCCATGGAGAGCAGTGGATAGTGAGGCCTTCCTGATATGGACTCATGTGGAAACCAGGAACAAAGGAAGGGTTTGGGACCCCTGCAAACGGGGAGTCTGGAATATGGTCCAGGAATTGGAAGGCCAGTGTGAATTCAGCTTAGCATGTCAGGTTGTTCCAAGAAGCCTCAGACTCTGTGTCCAGTGCTCCTCCACCCAGGGTCCTTGTTCCTCTGCCCTCCTTGGCTGTCTCTTCCATACCCATATCTATTTCCTGCCTCCTTCCTGGCTATATTTTGGGCACTGTTCCTAGTACTACTCAGCTGTCCATCTCATCTTTCTCACCATGTGCAATAACACTGGTTTCTCTGGCCCCCACTCCACCATACAGGGCACTGGTGGCTTGTGACTTGGGTGTTGTGGGCCTGCCCCCACCTCATCCCATGAGCTGTCATCATGTAGCTGGGTCTAGGGGCCACCCTAACCCTCCCACTAAGTGTGCTGGGCTGGGTCTGCTCAGCAGAGGTAGCTGAGGATCACAGAAGTGACACTTCCCACATGGTATCCTATCACGCCAGACACGTGATGCCAGCTGTCCCCACAAGCAAGGCTAGGTGTAACTCCCTAGTTTTGTGGAGACAGTGAAGGAATCCTCCTTTACAATTAGCCTGTAAGGAAAACACACCCTCCACTCCCAAGCTTGTTTTTGTGGCACTGGAGATGGAACCCAGTGACTCTATCACTGAATCACATCCCCAGCCCTTTTAATTATTTCTATTTTGAGACAAGGTCTTGCTAAGGTGGCCCAGTGAGACTTGAACTTGTGATCCTACTGCCTTAGCCTCTCTCAGTGCTGAATTACAGGGGTGTGCAGCAGCAACTTGAGACACCAGAGCAGCAAATGCATTGCATGGAAGTGTTATGTGGCAGTGCCTTGTCCATATCCCAAGTTTCTGCTGGAGCATCCAAGCCATGACAGGTATGACAAATAATATCAGCCTAAGAAAGGCAAGATGCCTGGGTGTCCCACAGCCTTCACTACCCACGTTAGCCACTGTACACAGACACCTGAGCCCTCACCTGGGGCAGGTGGGGCCTTTGCTCCTGTTGAGCAGGAGTCTGGAGGTTGAGACATCACTTCAGCCTTCTTTCAGGCCCTGGATCACAGTGTTGGTCCTCACCAAAGGGCTGGCCACCAAGGCCTGTGAGGCCTGGGATCTGAAAGGCTCTGGGAACCCTTGCCCAGGACAGGCAGACATGAAGGCAACCAGAGAGCTAACCCCCTCTCCCTTCCCTCCTAAAGCTTTGTCTCTTTTTGGTCCAGCTGCCCCCCAGGGAGGTAATGCCCAGTGGTGGAGTTCCTTATGCCAGACCCTGTGCAGGAGAAGGGCTGGTGGAGCTGTTGGCTGCCCCTTTCCAGGCACTGCTGTGTGTTGTGGGCTCTGGCCCTCTGCACAACCCTTAAGTGGCTCTTCTGGACAAGGCAGGTCCTCATTCCTTTGCCCCAGCCTGCTGAAGGGTGTCGGGTAGGAGCCCAGCTTGATGCTTTAAAGTTTGCTGCTGAAAATACTTTTGTGAAAACTTAAAATTAGGCTGGGCATTGTGGCATATGCCAGTAATATAAGCTATTCAAGAAGCTGAGGCAGGAGGACCACAGGTTCAAGCCTAACCTGGGCAACCTAGTTAATTAGGGAGACCCTGTCTCAAAAAATTAAAAATGGCTATGGAGTGTAAAGGCCTTAGGTTTAATCCCCTCTTCCCGAGGGGAGTGTCTTGGGGTATATAGCTCAGTGGTAGAATGATGCTGGTTCTGTCTTCAGAATTAATTAATGGGAAGGAAAAGAGAAGATCAAAGCCTTTCTTCATGTGAATCCATTTATTTGTGTCCCAGGGAATTCTAATCGTGATAGTGGGTTTCCACGTAGGTGCTGTACTGGTCCCCTGGCTGGGTGCTCAGGAGAGTAACCTAAAGTGTGCTGCTCTCTTTGCTCTGAGCAGCTGGTCCAGGGTGGGAAATACTGGATTGTGTCAGCGTATTTCTTGGTAAACTTGTTTGGAAGCAACCCTTCCGGCTTGACCTTTTCATGGGCCAGTGCCTTCCCAAGGCCCAGGTCTCCCCGTCCTCTTTCCTGCAAAGTGAAGGTTCACCATCGGCCACTGGATGGAGCTCTGCAGACAAGCCTGCCGTGTAGCTCTGAATCACACACTGGTCTGCCCAGCACCTAACCACAGCGGCAGCAGAGCTTTACTCTTCCCAGAATCTTGTCTGGTGGTGCTGCTAGTCTGTGCCAGTGGCTCTGAGGGTGAGGATGTCCCTGCCTCTCCTCTTGAAGCACCCAGATGCCATCCACACACAGCCAAGTGCATGGATCTCTGGTGTCCAGGTCCACGAATTCTGACAGGTGCCTGGACAGCATCACCAGTGCCCCATCAAGAGGCCATTGGCTTCATTCCCAGAATGTCCTGGCCCCCCAGAGGCAGCATTGCCTGTCATGGCAGAAAGGCTGGCTGGGGGGACATGCAGCGACCACGGGTGTCCACAAAGCCTGAGATTGGAAATAGCCAAATGCCCACCCTAGCAGAGGGGATGGATGAACTGTGACCCAGCAAAGGAACCATGGAGCCTGGACAGCAGTGGAGGATGGTGTGAGGCACAGGGGAAGTGAGCCCCACATCCTAGGGATGTGAACAGTGAAGAGAGCCCAGATGGGGACTGGCTTAAATGAGGGTTCCTTCCAGACAGGGTCTTGCCCTCCCTACTGCCCCAGTTTCTGCATGGCTGTCAGGACGCTGGCCTTCTATACCCCGTGGCACAAGGGTTCCCTTGCTGGCCCAGTTTGCTGGCACCATCAGGACTGAGTTCCTGGGGGGTTTTTGAGATGAGATCTCACTATTTTGCCCAGGCTAGTCACTAACTTCTGAACTCAAGTGATCCTCCTGTCTCAGCTTCCCTAGAGCTGGGACTACGGATATGCATGACCACACCTAGCCTTTTATGTTTCTTTTTTTTTTTTTTTTTTTTCCAGGGATCGAACTCAGGACCTTGCACTTTTGAGGCAGGCAGTGGCACCACTGAGCTAAATCCCTGGCCCCTTATGTTTCTTTTTTGACCAAGTGGAGTTATAGCAATTGAAACAATACAGTGACATCAGACCCAGGATCAGGAGGCCCTTGGAGGGGAATGCTTGGACAGGCAAGGAGCCCCCTCCCTCTGGAATCAGAGTCCCTGGGCTGAAGGTAGTCCAGGTATTCACACACCTGGGAAGACCCCAGTCCCGAGAGTGTGTCACATGGCACCAGGTCCGTACCAAGTACCTGGTAAAAGTGGCTGCCATTGCCTCAGGCTCCCATGGCCATCTGTAGGGACCTGCAGGGCCAGAAGATGGACCATGCTGGCCCAGCATGGCCACCACAGACACACCCAGCACTGGCACTGGGGTACCACTGGGGCACGGGAATGCCACTGCATTGAGTAGGTAATTGGAGGCTTTTGGCAAGTTGTGCAAGGGGCTGCTCAGCCTGGCAAGGCACAGGAACCCGGGGAGTTCAGCAATACTGAGGAGTACCCCCGGGGTCAGGGCACGTGCAAGCCAGGCAAGACCATGGGGACAGAGGTAGAGCAGCTGGGGCCATCCCGCCACGTGCCACCTCACGTGTGGGCAGCCAGGGCTATCTCCATCACATCTAAGCAACCGCAGGAGCACATGTGGAACTGAATGGCTATTGCTTTATTAGTCTGATATGATTGCTGTAAAGACAAACTATAGAGAAATAAGTAGACACCTTGACATTCACGTTAGGGGATAACCAAGTACTTCCTGTGCTGGTTTTCCAGTATGTATCACACATGCCTAGAAAGACACATTTTAACAACCCAGAAATTATGTAACTAGTGTTAAATAATTTAATAGTCTTAAAGTGTGGGGGATCCTCTAGCAGTTTCTTCTGTTTCAGATTCACAGAACCTCAGGCCCACAGGCACAGCCATTGGGGTAGACACCACAGACAAGTCAGAAGGCTCCCAATTTCCAACTAGTTTTAAATTCAAGAATGTAACATACAGTATACCTTCTTACTTTATTCCTCCTTTATGCTTTGTCAATTGCTTTTTATAAAAGAACAGTGTTTGTTGATTTTGTGGTGTATCTGCCACAATTAGTTTCCTATAATGAATCATATAACCTTTGTGAAGAAAATCCAAGATGCAACTCACTTTTTGAAATCTTAAAATAGTGAAACATGGCAAGCTTTCTGGTAGATCAATAAAAATAAGAGCATTAGTTTTAAACAATAGTCAAGAACTGGTTGGTACAATACTAAAACACAGTTTCAAAAAAGTCTGGCCTAGCCTGGTCAGCTCATGTGAAGAGACAAGGACGGAGCTCATGGTCCCCTTTGGCTTTTGTCAGAGAGCTCCTCACTCTCTGAGTAGCATGAGTTCTTTCCATGTTTTCTTGGAAACATGGCAGAACTGGGAATCCAACATTTTGGAGGGTAAGAGACAGGTGAGGCACACAGTATCCTCCGAGGTTAGCACAGCACAAAGGAGCAGGTGTCTGAGGACAGGGACCGTGCAGTCAGCATGTGGGGGCTGCTACAAAGGTCAGTGTGGGGCCGGGGATTTAGCTCAGTGGTTTCGCCGCCCGCTGTGCAAGTGCAAGGACCCCAGTTCGATCCCTGGTACCAAAAAAAAAAAAAGCCAGTGTGGGTGAAGAAGGATATGTGCCCCTTGGCCTTACCAGAAGGACCCACCCAGACTACTGGCATCTACTGGGCCTGTCCCTGTGGGCAGGTGGGAGTGAGTTGCATGGGTCCCCCAGGACTTAACCAGTTTGCACCCAAAGCCACTGAAGAATTGAAAGGGACATGTGGGCCCCCTCTTCCTACACTGGGGAAGACTGGTTGGGTGGAAGAATTCCAGGAGGGCAGAGAACCTGCACCTCTCCTGGTCTGTGTAGGGTGGGGTCTGCCCCCTCCCAACAGCTCTTTACTTGAAGCAAAAGGTACGGAAAGTATAATCCAGGGAAAAGGTCTTTTACTTTTTTTCTTTTTTTAGACAAAGTCACTATGTATGTAGCTCAGACAGACTTTAACTCATTATGTAGCCCAGGCTGACCTTGAACTCAGTGATCCTCCAACCTTGGCCTCCTCAGTGCTGGAATTACAAGCATGTGACACCACACCCAGCTGTGGTCTTTTACTTTAAGCAAAGACACCACCCCCACAAATAGCCCTCCCGATCTGAACCCTGTTTCCCCTACTGACTGGAAAAGTTGGGCTGCCCTTGGCTTGACCTTGGCCCCTGGGCCTGCTTACCCATAAGAGAATTATAGACAAGCAGGCACCAGCCAGCTGCCCTCTGTAGTATGGGGTGGGGCTGGAATCTGCACGGTTGGGGTTCTCACTTCCTTAGCAAACAGAACAGAGGTTCTAAGTGGAACCATCCAGTTGGGAAGCCTGGTGGCTACCTCCGTAAGCAGTAGGCCTTCCTCAGATTCTGTGGTTGAGAAGAGAGGGACAGGCAGACTTGCAGCCTTAATGTTTGGGGGTTTTTTTGGGTTTTTTGGTACTGGGGATTGGACTCGGGACCTTGCACTTGCGAGGCAGGGCCGGAACCACTGAGCTAAATCCCTGGCCCTAGCCTTAATGTTTGAACAGGACCCTGGCACACCTAAACACAAAAATTTCACAGTGAGAAGCAACTCAGAGAACAGCTCTCCACTTCAGCCCCATAGTTTATGGGCAAGAAACTGGGCTCCATAGAACTCGCCAAGCACATCACCGCTGCTAGGGGCAGATGGGAGACCCAAAGCCAGCGCATCCAGTGTATCTTCATAATTCCTCACAAAGCAAAGTAACTCAGGCACATCGCAATTGAGGAGACATGGTTTGTGTACAGTAAATACAACTAAAGCAAGTAACTCCTGGCTGAATTTCCCAAGAGATGGATCAGAGCTCCAGGCACCATTGCTAAACAGGCCAGAATGCAGGCTCACACTGCACAGCCCCGGGCAGGTGTGCTCCAAAGGCAGCCCCAGGCCTGCATGTCATGTGTTCCCCCGGGCCTGGGCACCACCCCATCAGGATAGGGTTGCTGCAGAATCAAGGCTGAGATGCTGGAGGTGCCTCACATCACTTCTGGAAGTCACTTGGGGGGAAGTCTTCCTGCTTATAAAGCTTCTTGGATTTCAGAATTGGGTACTTGGGGTTGTGGGCCTGCATTTAAATCCTAAAGAACTGGAGCAGAGGATGTGGGAGGTGTGCAGGGGTGAGGGTAGGTAAAACTAGCAGGGCTGAGGCAGGCAGCTGCCCCATCTTTGCTGACACCCAGGTGCGGCTCCACACAGAACAGGCCCCATAGGCTGCCTTGCTGCCATGGATGCCAGGCCCTGGCACCTCGGGGAACCAGCTTCCCACCATCCTGTCCTCCCTTCCATCCCTCGCTGACACAGGTGCCCTAGGTAGTAAGTTAGGAATCCCTCCTTCTTGAGCTCATATTCTTTAGTTTTGTGTACATTCTGGGGAACAGGCTTAGAGGGACAGGTCTGAATAGAAGGAAACCAGCTAGTGCTGTCTGTCAGGCAGGACATCAAGGACACATGGCTGGTGAGGACCCACCATGCTCATTACACCCTGTTAACTCCAACACACAGGGGCCATCATGGCTCCATGTGGCTTCACACACACCCCATGTGCCTTCCTCAGCCCAGGCTGCCAGCTGGAAATGATGTTGCCTTTATACTATTTCCTTCATCTTAATACTTGACATTTTTCTATAAAACATCTCTGTAAGACAAAAAAGGAGGGGACCAAGTACTGTGGCAATACAAAGAATAAATACTGGCTTTAGATTTTATCACTTCATTCCAAAAGCCTGGTGTTGAGGAGGCTGAAGGTCATTTCACTTAAGACATGGCCTGAAAGAGGTCTTCAGCAGAGATGCCCCATCTCCAGAAGGTGGGATGCTGAGGCAGCCTGTCCCTCACATAACACGCCTGTTTTCCCAGCATGGCCTGCCTAAGATGAGCCTTTTGGGTGAAAATAGAATACCTTAAAAAAAAATACCCCTTGTGCTACTCTTGTAGTAGTGCATCTCTGTCTGGGAAGAAAGCGCCAAGCATCCAGGTAACAAAGTGCTACACATCCAGTTGAACTTGGTTTTCCTCATGGGCAGCTCATTTCCCAGGACATGCAGACGAGGGGCAAGTGAAGCCCCCAGCGTGGTCACTGCCACCCAGCACTCTCCCTAGGCCTGTGCCATCACTGGCTGGACCCCTGAGGGGTCCAGGGGGCAACGCCGGAGCCCACAGTGCATTTTCTTTATCAGTCGTTGGAGTTTGCTAGGGAAGTTTCTATTGATGTGGCGGTAGAGCAGTGGCGTCACAGAGCTACTGGAGAAGGCCAGGAACTTGGATAGATCCTTCGCAAAGTGCAGGATCCCCAGGTAGTGCCCATCCACCGGCTTCCCCCGAGAGACCAGCACTGTGTGCCCCAGGAGGCTCAGGTAGTGAGGTGTCCAGAGCCCAAACTGTGTGCACACAGTGGCCACCAGTAGCCTGTGCACCCATGGGTCTAGCCTCCCCATGTCCTGGTCCAGGGGCGTGTCTTCTTTTCGGATCCGAGAGATGAGTGCCAGAGCATACAGCACAGCCAGGCCTGGCACCACAAACCCAATGAGCACCAGGATGGCATCAGCAGCCTCTGTGTTCTGCATCTTGGCACACTCAGCAACCCGAGAGGACACATGGCTGCAGATGTAAAAGAGCAAGGAGGAAAAGCTGGTGAGCAGCGCCCCACCCCAGACAAAGCCGCACACATGTCGTGTGTTATACACACTGGCCATGTAGGTACGTGGCAGGGCACGCTCGATGTAGTAGTCAAGGCTGAGCAGGGCAGTCGAGTACATGGTCACTAGGGAGGCCACATTGAACAGGATCAGCAGTGTCACATGTGCCTCACTGCTGAGGCTCCACAGTGCCCATCTGGTGTGGGGTGGCCCCAGGAGGTGCACAGGGGCCAGGGCACTGAGCACCAGGCCTGCCACAGCCATGTTCACAAAGTACACATCTGGCATAGTCATACTGCTCTTGCTGCTCAGGTTCACCAGCACCAGCAGCATGTTGTAACCCAGGCCAACAGGGACACCAGCCACCAGGTAGAGCAGCGAGAGGACCCAGAGCCCTAGGCGCAGGTCCTGGCACAGCTGCTCCTCACCCTGTGCCGTGCCATTGAGCAGGCTGCAGCTCCACATGGCAGCCTCACCCAGGCTCCGCAGCTCTGTTGGAAAGAAGGAACAAAGTCAGCCACTCCCTGTCTCCTTGCTCGGCACCACCAAACTCTAGGAAACTGTATAACAGCCCAAATAAGGCTGCTGTGACACCCATGGCCATGGTCAGGCTCTGGAATCCTGTTTCCACAGGAAATCAAGTCCTAGACAACTCACAAATGACACTACCACAGAATCTGCCTGAGGGAGTTTGCCATGCACATTCCTGCATCCTGAATCCACCAGCAGAGAGCTGCTGCCACCTTTTGGCATTGGGGGGCTCTACAGGACCAGAACCCACCTGACCCCAAGCACCTGGCAGTGTTATGGGACCCCTACTGTCAGCTGATGGGCCATTTCCAGTGATGTGTGCTGAGCACCTTCTGTGAGCTGGGGGGAGGGGGACAGTGCACATAGTGTTACCTGGTGGGACACAGCTGGGCGCCTGCTGAGTGGGACCAGGAGAGAAGCACTTGGCACATGGGAGCATCATGTGTACACATGCAGCACCAGCTCTGGTCCACAAGTAGGCCTGGAAAAGCAGCTGGCACTGTGCTGGGCTGTGTGGCACCCCACCTTCCAGGAAGAGCTGCTGCTCTGGAGAAGGTGTGTGCTAGATCCCCAGAGGGAGCCCAGAGCACCCTGTGGTCTTAAAACTCCCTGTCCATCTTCCACCACGGGGCGGGTGAGCTGCTCTCCCCACCTTGGACAGCCCAACACCATGGTTCCTAAAGCCTGCTGGGTGACTGGTGCTGCACTGGGAGAGGTTGGCAGCATGATGGTCAGCCCTAAGGTAACAGCCTGGGTTGCCTGAGGACACAGCATATCTTGACATAACTAAAACTGATAGGTGTAACCATACTTTAAAGAATTCCTTCTCTGCAATGAACAGACATTTTTCAGGAAACCCTTACATTTAAAATGTAGTTTGATCCAACCAGACCTTCTGCTCTCAGAATGGAAGACAAGTGTCTGAGGCAGATGCACAGAAAGCCAGCAGTCCTGTTTCCCAGAGCTCGGGGACAAAGCGAGGAAGCCAGGCTGCTGGCACTGACTCTGGTCCCGCCCGCTGTGGGCCCCACCGGAGGCAGCTCTGCAGTTTGCAATACCCACCTCCACACAGGATCCCAGCAGTGGGGGAGGAGAGGGCTCCTGCCACCTCCCATCTGCCAGCAGCGTGGCTAGGCATCGAAACAGGAAAGTTTATGATGGAGAAAATAGTCTGTGCTCTGGTGCCACCCCTGGCTCCAGGCACACAGTGTTGGGCTGGATTCTGGGCTGCAGTTTTCAGGTGCATGTGGGAGGGAGGGACACCAGGCATGAAGCATAGTGCAGCACCAATGCGTGTTCCCCACAGCTGAGACTGGACATCAGGAGCAAGGTGCCAAGAGCTGGCCGCACTGGGCACAGGGCAACCTCACTCTCCCTATTCTCCTTGGGCACACAACTCCTGAGCTGCAGGCAATCACACCCCAACTTGGGCCCCACCTACCCCTCTATTCAACCATCCTGACCAGGTCCAGGCAGGGCCAGTGAGCTCCACGGGTGGGAGTGGGGTGGCAGGGCTGCCAAAGGTGTGGGCGACTGATCCATTCCCAGAACCATTATCTCTTGAGGTACCATCTATGTTTTCTATTTCTCCTTCCATTTAGAATGCCTGTAGCCAGCATCTGTGCTTAAGTGCTGTGTTTTCTCGGGTGCTTTAGTCCCCAGGCTTCTGTCTCCCAAGCTTCAAAGCTTTGGTGACCACTGAACTGAGCAGGAGCCCATGTTGTGGGTACCTCATCTGTCCTCCATCCACCAGACCTCATGGGCCACAAATCCCACAACACCTGCGCATTCTGTGGCCACTATGAGTGCGTGTCAGTGAGCCATGTTTGCACCCGAGTGTCCTGTTCTCACAGGCCATCAACCCATAGCCAAAGGCCTGCTGCCTAGCCCCTCCTGTGCCATACAGGGCCTAGGCTTTGTTTGAGTTGTCTCCACACATTACTGTTTCAGACCTCCTTCCCTCTCTGCGATAGCAGCTATGACAGCCACACACAGAAGGGCCACACATCAGTGATGCGGGCCATGTCCTCCAGTGACCTTACAAGTGGAGCATATCTGACAGACGTGGTCAAGGGCTCAGATCATTCTGTCCCTCTTGCTCCACATCCTGTCACTTGTCCTTCTGAGAAGACTCCTGCCTACAGTGGCTGCTCTCCCATCCTTTGTCCCCCGCAGCTGCAGCCATTGGCTCTTACCTTTACCTCACGTCCCATATTCCATGAGGCCATGGACTGCAGATGCTGTCCTCGGTCAGCATGGCAGAGCCAAGGCACAGCTGCATGGCAGAGGGACTCTCCTGTGCCTCTTGAAGCCCTGCCACCCCCACCCCCCAGTCCACTGCAGCCAAAAACATGGGCACAGGCATGTGTGAGGCTGCTGCACGCTCATGCCAGGAGATGCCACACTTGTTTTCCTCCAGCAGATTACTCACATGCAGCTCCTGCCTCCCATGGCAACATGGCAGCCCCTCCCTATCACTGTTTACAGCCGGTTTCCAGAAATGAAAGGTCGTGCTTGGACGGGCCGGCGCTCCCAGATCAAGCGTGTTCACATCCTCTCACACTTGGCTTGGTAAATGTCCAGGCTCCCGGGGGGACTGGCAGGTTTATATGGAGGCAGCAGTGGTATTTCCCCTCAGTCCCTCCTGTGCACGTCCGGCCCAGTCCACAGTGTGTCCTGGAGGGAGTGGGGGCAGGTCTGGCACAGACTCAGGGTCCTGCTACTCAGAATGGCTAAGGAGATCAGTTACAAGTTCCTGCTCCCCTGAGGAAACAGACTGAACAGACATGTGTCTGTGGCTGCTGTAAGCTGTGGCTGCTGGGGCTCAGTGAGTCTGGTCAGAAGTGGGACCCGAGAGGTCCCAGCCACTGTCACATCAGACCCAGGAACATAGCAGCCCTTTGAAAGCACAGCCATGGCACAGGGCAGGCTCAGAATCAAAACCCAGGACCAGGGAGAGGTGTTCTGCAGCCTCCACATAAATTGCCAGGCATCCTCTGCCTGTACAGTGTCCACAGGGACTCGGAGCAGCCCCAGGAGGGTGGGTGTCAGCGAGACCCAGGCTACAGATGGCTGCACCCTGTGCAGCAGAGTGGAGACTGCTTCTTCCTGGCCTGCTGATTCCCATTGCCAGGAGAAGTGGGGCAGGAAGAGCCTTCCTGGAAGCATCACGTGGAGCAGCTCTGTTTATATCCGTGGTGCTCAGGTTCAAGGGTGGCCTCCCCCTGGGTTTTTGAGAGCACTGCTGAAGGAAGTGCATGTGTTTACACACCAGCCAGGGCAGACAGCAGAAGGGGCCATGGCTCTCGATTTTATTTACTGGTAGCTATTCATGCTAAAGAGTTTATAAACTTTTATTTCATAAGCTGTAACTAGTTTCTATGTATAGTTTTCTTACATAATTATAACTTTTGTGTCACACAAAGATCATAAGCCAGAAAGTACCCATTTTCATTCACTTTCATTCCACCTGTCCTGGCATTACCTCCAGGGAGCTAATGCATAACCTGGAGATCTTGGGAGCAAAGTGACCGCAGTGGACAACTGGCTTCACAGGCTGGTGCCGTCCACCTCAGGGATGTCCACAATGTTGAAATTGGATGTAGAGGGTGGAGAAGCAGCTCTGCAGCCATGGTAAGAAGCAGAGGGGAGCTTGGACATCCTGTGACCACAAGGTCAGTGGCACTTTCGCCTCCAGGTATGGCCCACAGCCCTAGGATGGAGGAGCAGCAGGTGGTGGCCCAGACCCAAATGCCTGTGTGTGCTGGGAGAGGGGAGCTCTTTGAGTCCGGTCAGGAAATGTTTCTGCCTCATCTCATCACAGGGCAATGGGTGACCTGCTTTCTCCCATTATCCCTTTGTTCCCAGGCACCCTGGCAGGGAGGAGTGCTGTCCTGCTCTTAGCCCATGCCCATTCTCTGTGGCCCAGACCCAGAGCCAATCCTGGCTGCAAGGCTCTGGGTGAGGGCTGTGCCCTGGGTAGGAAGAGCTGAAGGATCTGCCCTCACCCTGCCTGCCCTTCATGGTTCCTGTACCCTGTGGTCCTCCTTCCTATTCCCCTCGCTGTTTGGTGAAGAGGGCCATCCTGTAGGTGAGAAACAGTGCCTTGGTTTCCACCCTCCAGCTCCAGCCTCAGGACCTGGGCTGGGCAGTCTTTCCAGTTAGCCAGCCTCCTGGAAACTTCCTTCATGAAAAATCAGAGCACAGAACCAGATGGTGGGAGTTTGGGAGGCAGGGGGAAAATCCCCCAACATACCCTTTCCAGTCTAGTCTCTCTGAATGATGGATAAGTCTGAGTTTATCAAGTTTAATTGGAAGATGACAGAAGATTCTAGAAAATCTCTGCAGAGATGCAGAAAGCATAGAGAAGGCTCATCCTTCACCTGTTCTGGGGCCTTTGCTCTTGTTGTGGGCCAAGGGATGGGGTGCCAAGCACTCCTAGCACGCACTCTCATTCCACCCATATTCCTTCAGGAAGCTGCTGGCCAGATGGCAGGATTAATACCCATCTTCCAGGGCCTTGCCACCCACTGCCCTCCTTCTGCCCGAGGGGTCCAACTCAGCAGGACCCCTGGAGGCCTCTATCAGACCAGGAAAATGCTCCTCATCCCTAGGACCACCCCTCTAGTCACAAAGCACAGCCCACCTGGCTCCCCCGGCTCCTTTGCCCACCTGCATCCTCCTGGAGGGGCTTGTGAAAGCCTAGTGTTGGCAGGAAGGCCCTTCCCCCATCCCCTCTCGCCACCCTTCTGTCCCCTCCCCTGAGCTCTCTTCCTACCAGGCATGTTCTCCTCACACTGTCTGGTTTGGCCACCTTCCTTCCACTCTCATCACTGGCCTCTCCCACCCTGAAACTCTCCCCCACCACTGCTACAAGACCTGCCAGGCTCATTCTTCCCACCCACAGCCCCTAGAATGACACTTCTCAGGCGAGGCCCTGGCCCTCAGGGCCCCTTTCCCA